AGTAGCAAAGAGTATTTATTATTTAAATACTACACGCGGTATAGACTAAACTAACTATAAAAGATTTTAGTTATTGTTTTTAGTAATGAATCGAGACACGTGGTAGCAGAGTATTTATTATTTAAATACTACACGTGGTATAGACTAGACTGACACTAAAACGAATGCTTCCTCTTCAGCATTCGGATAAAAAATAACTGGAAAGAAATCTTTTGTGCAAATTCGTGTCCCTCTAGGCAACCCGCGCTTGTTCAATGCCTTTGCTATTGGTGTAAATCGTTGATCGTTGCACCATCTAGTGTCGCTTCTGTAAATGCCCTCTGTTGACCAGCATATGGAATAACCCCCCCACCAGCTACAAATTATATTACTCCCTCAATAAATTACTTTCAATAAAATTGTATCATCATTAAACATTTATGGAGAGGAAAATCCAAGATATTTTGTTATTATTCAGAAATTACGTATTTTATTGGTATAAAAACAATTGAATTTGTATTTTCTGTAAACCTTGCATCGATACATTCGTCTGCTGCAATTTTATTTTTTTTCCTACAGATTTGATTTTTATTTACAAATATTGCAACAATAAATAGACTTTTGTTTTTCTCATTTAATTTTCTCTAAGAACTTAAGAACAGTTCGTAGAAACTTTTAATTTCGACCAATAGGAATTTTGAAAAGCTTTTGGAGACTTATTATTGGTACTGAATGAACATCAACATGGAAGATGATTGGTCGAAAACCTTAAGGCAGGTATTAAAGGTACAAGACTCTCTTTTTAAAATTTTTTTTATAACAAAATATTTATAATAAATTATAAATTATTATAATTCTTTTTGAAATTTTTCTATACTTAATATTAATAATTAATACTTAATATTAATCTATTCTTCTACATTCGTTTCCGTTCTATAACTTCCGTTCTGTGAGATTATATTCAAATAAACCTGTTCGACTTATTGAAAGAAGCACGTGCAAAAACAAATCTTGTAATATCCCGGCAAGGATTCATCGTACTTGTTGAAGTTGTTTGTTATATTTTTATTAATTTAATGACATTTCAAAATGAATAGTGAACAATTGCTGAATTTCTTTGATCGAAACGAAATTTATTCGAAAAAATTAATTAAATTTGTAAAATTGGATGTAAGTAACATTGTAAAATTTATTTTTGGTTAGAATTGCTAAAATATAATTATTAATTTTTCTATTATTTCTTTTTAGAAATTAAATGACACTCATTATAAGAATATTATTCAGATATTAGGAGAGTTCCTGTTAAATCCAAATTACACAAAAGATGTTGCAGATTGTTTTCCGAATTTATTACCGGTTCTCATAACTTCAGCTATTCTCTCGAAAAACACGTTGTTTTCTGATTTTGGTGAAGATTTTTATCATAAAATAAATTGTGTTGTTCTTGCCAAGCTTGTTAATATAAATCCCGATTTACTTATGTAAGTATACATTTTATTTATTTCTTTTCATATAAATTATATTAACCCTTATTTGTCACGTGGGAAGTAACTTACAAATAATAAAAATTATTAATAATTAATAATTTCATATATTTGTATTGCTCCTTCAAAAAAGTAAATAATTTCTAATAAATAATAAGTTATTCTTATAATATTAAACAATTTTGTTTGTTTGTTTGTGTGTTGAACAATATTTACTGGAACCATTTACAACATATCAGTGAGAACATCAATATAAAAAACCTGACGACCGATAAGGGTTAAGTTTTAACAATGTTATATTTCATTACTATAAGTTAATATGTATATCTTATACTGTTTAGATACGTTTTACAATATTTTAATCATCATCCTGCACCATTCGAGTTGCAATTAATTACACCAAATAAGAAATCGAAGTCTTTCGATATCACGGAAATTGAATTCAATATAACGGATTACGATATCGTATTAGCTAGTTATCAAATTTTATCAGCATCTATAGCAGATTTTAAATACAAGTGGAATTGGTCAAAATTTTACAAGTATTTGAATCACGAAGAAGATAAAGTGAAATGGTACGTTTAATTGATTTTTAAGAATTATTTAAAACAGAAAAATGAATGGGTTCTTTTATTAGTTGATTATTTTTCAGGATTGCTTTAAAATGCATCAGTATAATCTTGAGTATGGCCGAAAGCGTTCGTTTATCTTACGCAAGAAAACTAATCGGTGATATAAAACCATTTCTTACTGAACATGAAGAAAGCTATTTGGAACCATTCGCTTTAGAAAATTCATCAAATAATTTAGATAAAATGAACGATTTATTTGAAAGTCTACCATATGTAAAATTAGCTGGTAACGTTTTGTTGCCGGTATTTAATTCCAATAAAGTAGAGACCGATCATGCTTTTGTATTAACGGACACTGTAAATCAAAATTTACAGAATTTGGCTGTGGCACTTTCATCTAGAAAGTGTATTTGTTTACAAGGTCTCGTTGGTTGTGGTAAAACAACTCTAGTTGAATATTTGGCACGAATCACAGGACATGATTCATCGAATTTTTTTAAAGTACAATTAAGTGAACAAACTGATTCTAAAATGTTATTAGGAATGTACAAATGTACTGATATTCCTGGTGAATTTGTTTGGCAACCAGGTATATTAACTCAAGCAGTAATTGATGGTAAATGGCTGCTTTTAGAAGATATTGATAATGCTGCGTTAGACGTCGCAAGCGTTTTAAATAATTTATTAGAAACTGGAACACTTTCAGTACCTGGTTATAGAGATAATATTTATGCTAAAAATGGATTTCAATTATTTGTTACACAAAGATTGATGCCATCCACAACAGGATTAAGAAAACAAACTTCAGGAGCATCAACTTTGTTGCAGAAACATTGGTTCTGTATAGATATCCAAAGTTTTACAATTAGTGAATTACTCCATTTGATACCATCTTTATTTCCTGCATTAGAAACCGTTTCATCGATATTAGTTAACACTTACTTGAACTTTTCTATGGATAATCACACTAATACAATATCGAATGTACGATTTAATACTGGAAGACTGATATCTACTCGAGATCTCATGAAATGGTGTTCAAGAGCCATCATAGACTTCGATGTTTCTTCACCTGATTCAACTTTGAAAATTTTTCAAAACGCTATTGATATTTATTGCTGTTGTATCTCCAATGCAGGTTAGATAATCGTTATTTGCATTTATTTTTGAATTATCATTCTTTTTTTCAAGAATTTAATTAAATGTAATTAATTTTCTTTTAGAACAAAGATTAGATGCGATTAAATTGATCGCCTCTATGCTTAAAATAGTGCATGATAAAGCAGAATATTTCTTTCACAAACATACACCTCTTATCGACTTAAATCCTGATTCATTTATAGTTGGTAGAGCAAAATTATTACGTAAAAAGTCAGAGTACGTAAGAATGACAGAGATTAAAACTAATTTTTCTTTTACCAGACCAACCGTCTGCTTACTTGAACGTATTGCATGTTGTGTCGTTCAGAAAGAACCAGTCTTATTAGTAGGAGAAACTGGTACAGGAAAGACAACTGCTATACAATATTTAGCACAATGTACAGGTCATAAATTGATTGTAATTAATATGAATCAACAAAGTGAAAGCGCTGATCTTCTGGGAGGATACAAACCGGTAGAATTAAAGTTTTTGATATCACCAATTAGAGAAGAATTTTTATTCCTATTTCAATCGTACTTTGCACTTAAACCAAATGAGAAATTTTTAAAACATATTGCATCTTGTTATAAACAAGAACAATGGAAAACTCTTGTAATTTTAATGAGACATAGTACTAACGCAGCTTTGAAACAATTACAAAAACAAGAATATACCGTAACTGGAAAAAATGAAATTAAAAGGAAAAAGAAAGACGACGGTGATAAAATGAATGAAAATTACACAGATTTGAGAAAGAGATGGGAACAATTGGGAGAAAAATTAGAAAAATTGGAGTTACAAGTAAAAGCTCAATATTCGTTAGTTTTTTCATTCGTAGAAGGAAGTTTAATAAAAGCTTTGAGAAAAGGACATTGGGTATTGTTGGATGAAATTAATTTAGCAAATGCTGAAACGTTGGAATGTTTATCAGGATTATTGGAAAAATCATCTGGATCGTTGTCCTTATTAGAACGTGGTGATAACGAATCTGTAGAAAGGCATCCAGATTTTACAATATTTGCTTGTATGAATCCAGCAACTGATGTTGGTAAAAAGGATTTACCAGTTGGATTGAGAAATAGATTTACCGAATTTTATGTTGATGAATTAACTGAACGTTCTGATTTACAAAAACTCGTTCATTCGTATCTTAAAGGTATGACTTTGTCTGTAGATGAAAAAGAAAAAATTGTTAAATTTTATTTAAAAATTAGAAAAGCAGCTGCCAATACGTTACTTGATGGAACTGGACACAAACCTCATTATAGTTTAAGAACATTATGTCGTGCATTAAGCATTGCTGCGTCAAATCCTTGCGGAAATGTTAAAAGATCTTTGTACGAAGCTTTCTGTTTAAGTTTCTTGACACAGTTGAATTACGATTCTTATCCAATCGTACAAAAAATGATTGTTTCTGCTATTTTGGGTGAGAAAAATTATAAAGCAGTAATTGGGTGTCCTATATCTAAACCAAAATGTGGAGACGATGAAGATTACATATGCTTTGAAGGATATTGGGTTGTTAAGGGTACTTTAGTTCCTAATACACCAACTAATGTGAGTATTTCTTTATTATTCATCTATTATCATGTAAATATATAAATAAGTATATACAAATAAATAATATAATCATTCTTTTAAATGAAATATTTTTCTGTTTAATTTATATTCCATTTGTTAATATTTTTCAGTACATTTTGACGGAAACTGTTAGACGAAATTTGAAAGATTTAGTACGAGTAGTGTCCATTGGAAAAATACCTGTTTTGTTACAAGGTGATACGTCAGTAGGAAAAACTAGTTTAATAACATATTTGGCTAAAGCTTCTGGCCATATTTGCGTTCGGATTAATAATCACGAGCATACTGATTTACAAGAATACATTGGAAGTTACGTTGCTGATGAAACAGGAAAATTGGTATTTAGAGAAGGTATTTTGGTAGAAGCAATGCGCAAAGGTATGTTAAATTAATATTTTCTTTTTTATAAATACATCTAATTCTTTTTATGTATGATATTTAAAAAAAAAAGTTTTATTATTTTTATATTAATAATTTTATATTAATTAGGACATTGGATTATATTGGACGAATTAAATTTGGCACCAAGCGATGTCTTAGAAGCATTGAACAGAGTTCTCGACGACAATAGAGAATTGTTTATCCCAACAACTCAGCAAGTTATTAAGGCCCATGATAATTTCATGCTTTTTGCTACACAAAATCCACCTGGATTATATGGTGGTAGAAAGGTAACTCAGAATTACAAAGTGTATTTAATAATTGAATTAATTGTACAACAAGAATTAAAAAATTAGATTATGAGATTTAAAATTTAATTCCTAAATTAATGTGTTTGATTTTAGGTATTGTCACGAGCATTTAGAAATAGATTCGTTGAGTTACATTTCGATGAAATTCCTCCCAATGAATTGCAAATAATATTGCGCGAAAGATGTCAAATGCCTGAATCTTATTGCAAACAAGTGATCAATGTTATGACAGATTTACAAATAAGACGTAAAAGTACAGCTGCGTTTGCTGGCAAACGAGGTACGATATTATTATTGTTAATTTTATGTATAACGTATAATAATTTATTATTGAAAATATTATCGATACAGGTTTTATAACGTTACGTGATCTATTTCGATGGGGCGAGCGATATAGATTAGCACCAGATATGGGTAATGAATTGTACGATTGGAGTCAACATTTAGCTGACGAAGGATATTTAGTTCTTACTGCGAAAGTTCGTAAAACGGAAGAAGCAGATGAGATTATAAAAGCCATAAAGAAACATTTAAAACGTGATGTTCATCCGGATAATTTGTTTTCTTTACACAACAAAACTTCACCAGTTACCAAACATATATTGGAAGAACTTTTAAATGCAAATAATGAACATTTTAATCATATTGTTTGGACTTATCATATGCGTAGAATGGCAGTGTTAGTTAAAAAATCCTGTCAATTTAAAGAACCAGTTTTATTAGTCGGTGAAACTGGTTGTGGTAAAACTACCGTGTGCCAATTAATAGCTGCATTGAATGGGCAAACGTTAAGAAGTATTAATTGTCATATGCATACGGAGTCCTCTGATTTTCTTGGTAATTTAAGACCAGTTAGAGAACACAACAATTCTGATAATTCCAAACTTTTCGAATGGGTCGATGGTCCATTAATCATTGCTATGGAAAAAGGCGATTTTTTCTTAGCCGATGAAATTTCTTTAGCCGATGACAGTGTTTTGGAAAGATTAAATTCGTTACTTGGTAAGTATTGTAATAAATAAATTCATTTCTAATGTAATTGTATTAATTTTATATTAATTATGATTTTTTTTTTTTTTTTTAATTAATTTCGAATAGAACCCGAACGTAGTTTATTATTGGCTGAAAAAGGATTGAAATTAACCGACGATGAAGATGACAGTATTATCGTAGCGGATGATAAATTTGTATTTATTGGTACAATGAATCCTGGTGGAGATTACGGTAAAAAAGAATTGTCGCCGGCGCTCAGAAATCGTTTTACAGAAATTTGGTGCGAACCGTGCGTAGAATTAAACGATTTAAATGACATAATAATACACAATCTTGATGATAAATTATTATCTTACAAAGAATCTATCGCAAAAGCGATATTGAATTTTATTAAATGGTTACCAACAACTGATGTAGGAAAAAGATTAGTTGTCAGTATACGTGATATTTTAACATGGGTACATTTTATAAATACATGCACGTGTAGCGAAAATATTAAATTAAATATTGGTGATGCGTATTATCATGGTGCATGTTTGACTTATGTCGATAGTCTTGGATCAGGATTAACGAGTTTAGAAAGGTAATTATCAAATGATATTTTTATTTTTATAGATGTACGAATAAAATAATATTTGAATTGTTATTCTTTTAGATCGACTAATTTAATGGACTTCAAAGCTACTACTTTTGACTACATAAAACATCAAATAAATAATACATTGCATTCTGAATTATCAGAAGAATTTGATAACAATACCAATGTTTCTTTCAATGATGAAACTAATATGTTTGGTATCTCACCATTTTATATTACAAGAGGTCCTCAAGTCATACACGAAGATATACAGTTCACATTTTTACCAAATACTACGAAATCAAATGCATTGAAACTTTTAAGAGCATTACAGTTGAATAAACCAATTTTATTAGAAGGAAGTCCGGGTGTCGGAAAAACAAGTATAGTTAGTGCACTGGCTAAAGCATCGGGACACGCATTACTTCGAATTAACTTGAGTGACCAAACGGTGTGTTATTTTATATATAAATAAATTTATGATACTTATAATTTGTTATATTTTATATTTTATTAATAATTATATTGTTTTTTTTTTTTTAGGATATTTCTGATTTGTTTGGTGCAGATCTTCCTGTAGAAGGTGGTCAAGGGGGTGAATTTTCATGGAGAGATGGACCATTCTTACGAGCTTTGAAAGCTGGCGATTGGATTGTATTAGACGAATTAAATTTAGCTTCTCAATCTGTATTGGAAGGTCTTAATGCTTGTTTTGATCATCGAGGAGAAATTTATATACCTGAACTTGGAAAAACATTTTCGATAAAGTCAGGTACCAGATTATTTGGGTGTCAAAATCCATTAAAACAAGGCGGTGCTAGAAGAGGTCTTCCTAAGTCATTTTTAAATAGATTTAGCCAAGTAAGTGCATTTATAATTAATTATAACATTAATTAAAAATTAAATAAATGAATTAATTAAATTAATTGTATTACAGGTGTTCATTGATTCTTTGACCGAAAGTGATTTAATGCTGATTCTAAATGTACAATTCCCTGAATTATCTACTGAATTAATTCATAAAATGGTTACATTTAACAGTAGATTGGCATCAGAAATTGGTGTAAATTGGGGCTTCATTGGTTCACCATGGGAATTAAATTTACGAGATATCAGTAGGTGGTGCGAATTAACAGTCAAAGTATCAAAAGATTATTTGAATAAACAAGAAATGTATTATAATCCTGGAAAAACGGTGGAACTTATTTACGTCAGTCGAATGCGTACACAAATAGATAAAGAAAAAGTAAGATAATTAGAATAGTTTATTTTTGTATAATTATTATAATAATATATAACATTAAATAATACATTTAGGTTCGTAAAACATATGAAGAACATTTCCCGATAGAAAAATATCCACTTCCACCATTGGAACCTTCTGTATACATTTCAGAAGATACATTTTATGTAGATGATGTAATAATACCTTTATCACCAACCACAATTTATAGTAATTCTAATTTATTAGTGTTGAGGGATCAATGGACGACTTTAAAACAATTAATTCAGTGCGTTCAAATGAATTGGATGTCTATACTTGTAAGTAATTTTCTTTTAAATATACAGTAGGATCTTCATTTATCGGTTTGTGTTTATCAAATCTTTTAGTTAATTGGTTTATGTTTATCCTACGTTTCGTTGTCTTATTTATATATATCTTTGTTAACAAACATCTGAAGAAGGTGGTTTGATTTTAAATTGGACGATGTAATAAAAGAAAATTTAGTACGGATAAAAAGTTTGAATAAAAAAGATTTGTTATAAGCACAAATTTAATATAGCAATTAAAATGTGCGCGGATAAAAATATAAGAACAGATAAATATTATTTTGTAATGCATATTCAATATAATTCTGTATTTATATTCAAACAATTTTTGCGGAATAACGTATTTGTATTTATTTTTATTTATAATTTTATGTTTACTTTATTACAGGTTGGTTCATCAGGATGTGGAAAGAGTAGTGTAGTTCGATTGCTAGCTAACTTAATAGGACAAAAGCTGAAGTGCATTGTAGTTAATTCAGCGATGGATACAACAGAAATTTTGGGAAGTTTTGAACAGGTTAGTGATTATTTATAATTCATTATTTATACAGTGTCCCAAAAGTCACTTTAATGAGGATAGAAAAGTTAAATGAAAAATCAACGTTGGTTTATTATATTCATTTATTTATATTCATTATATTATTTAGGATTATATTACAATCAATATTTATTTATATTATTTAGAGTTATATTACAATTAATATTCATTATATTATTCAGGATTATGTTACAATTAATATTTATTCATTATTTCAATAGAATTACTATAATTTGTTTTCTTATTTCAAGATATAAGTCTCCGGTTATAGTTTTTATATTTCTTTTTTTTTTTAACTATGACCGTTTCCATAATTCAAAAAATTTGCTAAAAAATAATCTTACCATTTTTTTTTTTAGTTCAGTAAAGTAACTTTTGGGATACCTTGTGTATATTTATAACTAAATTCTTTGCATTTGAAATATTTTGTTAATACATGTTTGGCGGAAGACGACACGTCTTTCATTTTTCCAAGTTTTTAGTTTCAAACTAAAACTTTCTTTGGTTCATCATTCGAATCAAACTGAATTGTGATCTAAATATTAACTGAATTAAATTTTAAGTTTAGCACATGTATATATGTAGAAATGATTTCGGTGATTATGGGGGGTATCAAAGTTGTTAAAGTTAATAAATAACAAAATTCACAAACGCGTAAATCAAATAAATACGTACACGTACAGATATTAAAAAATAATTTATATTCTGTACGTGTAATATTTGTCATTTATAAAGATTGAAATTTGTTTGTTTGTTTTTTTAATTTCATCTAATTATTATTACATGATCGTGTAATAGTCATACATATATATATAGTAATAGTTGTACATTGATATGCATTTGACTGCTTCATAGCAAATCGTATGCTATTTTAATATCAGTTTTTAACATTTTCTTCACTTTTCATTTCTTTCTTCTTTTATTAATTAATTTATTTATATATTCTTGGTCAACTCATATTTTCTTTTTAATCATTAACATTAACATATTCAATTAATCATTAACATATCCGACATTTTACTTCATAAATATTTTTCACAGAGATTCGTTAATTAATCTTTTTAATTGATTATAATATTCTCATAATTTTCATGCTCTTAAAGTATACAAAATTTAGGAAACACAAAAAACAATAAATTAGAGATCAATGTTTTGTTTTGTTTTTCTGTATAAAAGAAAAATATTTAAAAATATTATTTTATGAGAAAAAATTTTCCTGCCAATTATTGTAGTTATCAGTTGTATTCTGTAAATGACTTATTTATACAGGATGTTTTAGAATATGTTAACATAATTTCAGGGATGGTTTTAATATACTAAAATAAGAACAAAAGTTCATAAAATCATATACCCTATATGATTTTGTTTCCAAATTATAGCTGGTTTTGTATTATACGCGTTGTTACATGGTTTTTTTTTATACAAAATTGTTCACAGTGGTTCCACCCTACCTAGATTTCTTTTTTTTTTTATAACATAATCTATACATAATATAATTTTCAATATAATTAATATTCAATATAATACTTTTTATTTTATTTTATTTTGTTCTTGCTGAGAGAAAAATTCTAGGACATTAATAAGCGATCACAGATACATTTAGATATAATATTTAAATTGTAAGATAATTTATTTTTTTGTTTTCCTTAAAATACTATTAAATTTATTTACAAAAGAGTGGGGGGAGGGAGGGAGGGAGGGGTCATTTTTTTCCTTGTATTTTCATTTATATTTTTTCTTTCTTTATCTCGGTTGTACGAATATCTATATCATATAAAATGACGTAAAAGCAAAGTCAAAAAATTGTCGTTAGATTCTATCAATGAAAATTTCAGTCTGTTTAATCCACTGATTACATTTAGGATTAGATTAGTTCGTTTTAATTGTTGCGTTCGTACGTGCCATTTTGTAATTTTATTTTTCCTTATCAATTCTATTAGTTATCGTTCTATTTAATGTTATGCAATATAAATTGAGTAGAGGTCAATTTACAAATAGTATGAAACTATCGATCAACAGGTATACCTCTTGTGCAATGTATAATAACATCGGCCGATAATGATTTAATTTAACATTCAATAGCACGCTCAATAATGAACATTATAAAAGCTATCAATTTATAATGATGTTTTTATATATAATACTAATTTATATTTGTTTATTTATATTATATTATATTATATTATTAATACTTTCGAAACTCCAATTTGTAGTTTCTTTTATTTTATGTTTATCGGGTTGTCCGGAAAATTCGCGCCGTTTTTGATGAAACATTGAAATGTTTTGTAATTTAAGTTTTGTTTTGTTGGTATATATTTAATTAATTATATCTAATTGCCATTCTGTTTCACAATCTTTCTCCATTTTTAAGGGTAACTTCAAAATTTCCATATATGAAAATTTCCTCCTTTTAGAACTTTTCAGGTTTTTTTTATTAGCAAAAGAACTTTAATGCCATCTACCGGAAATCAGCACGAACTTTACGGATAACCTAATATTATAGTTTATACTTGATTCAAATTATTTCAATATATTAATCTACTTTAATTCCTTTTCATTCCTTTTTTAATTATTTAAAAAAAGATAAATTAATACAATTACGAGCATAATTTTTTCTTCTAACAAATATCTTCGAATATTTTTTATTATTTTTTGTTTTTGTTTTTTGCGAAACAATAATGACATTTTTGTGAAGTTTGTTTTGTTTTTGGTTGTTAAAAAAAAGATGTCCGCAACACTTTTTGTGTTCACTTCCGGTAAAATAAGATGAATAATATTATAATAAGCGTACTTTTTTCCATATTCTCATTTTTCATCTATAATTTTAAATTTGATTTTATTCTTCTCTCATAATCATCCCCTTTTTTTGTGACTAAAACATTTGAATAAATTTTGTTGTTGTTGTTCTCTCTTGGTTAATTTATCGCGAATAAAAATGTTTGTAAAAAGTTTATCATTCGTTGAATGCAAGGAGAGATATAAATAGTATGTTTCGTGTATTTCTTTTTATCTGCAAATATTATTTTGCATACACACATATAGAATTATTTATCTAACTATAGGGTTGTATTAGGGATGCTTTCTTTTTTTTTTCTTTCCTAATATTATATAAATATCTTTTTTATTTTTAATAAGTTATATGACACACACGTATTTCATATTAGATAATTTTGAAAAGATTAAAATGTCTTGATTAAATAATCATTTTAAAATGATAATTTTAATTCTATTTCGATTCGTAATTTACTGATTTTCGATTAGTTTAATTAGATTCTACAAATTTCTTTAATCTTTAATCGATTATGTCTTCACAATGACATTTTGTTCTAATCCAATTAAAAAGATATATATTCGTTTCTTACACCATATTGGAATAATTGATTCATTTTGATAATAAAATTCTTCATTAATTAGACAAGATTCTTTTTTTTTTATATGTATATACAGGGTGTTTTGTAATAAACAGGGTTTTTAATTTGTGTCTCCTGTTCATTTCTGATTTTTTATTTCACATACTACAAAACATTCTGTATATCATATATAAATACGTATGTGCACACATATATAAATTAAATCATATGTCATATTTATAATAATCTAATATAGTAGATGAACATTTTTAATCGTTCGGTATATCGCTGCTTGTAGGACTCATCGTTATTTGTTGATCACTCAATTGGGGTGGTGGTGGTAATAAAAGACTCGGTCTTCTTGATAATTCTTCATCGTAAAGACTCGAAGTACTACTCTTCGATCTTGAAATTAAACTCCATGGATCTGGTGGTATTTGATCGTCCTGTTAAATTAAAAAAAAAATAATAATAAGAAACTTCTCCATTTCAAAGATGAATCACATTTTTTAATGCAAATTAATTTGATCACTCCAATCAACAATAATTCTTTAATGTGATTAAATATTTATAGAAATTTATTATTAAATTTTTAGAATCAATTTTTCATTTGTTTTGGTATGATAAAAATTCATAAATAGAAACATTTATTTATTTAATTTTTTTTGTTATGTTTAAAAAGGACCTAAAATTTGTTGATAGATCAAATATTGTTTATAGAAATATATAGGAATGAAAATATATACTTACAACGATAAGATGTTTAGCTGTCGGTGGTAAAGGTGGTTTCAAAAGTGCAACATCGGTAAGATCACAAGCGGCTGCTGATATAGGTTGTACTAAGGGTGGATCCGGTGGTGATGGTACGTTCAATGGTTGTTCATATCTTGGTGATTGTACACTTTGGATAGTATTATTTGTCGTACTACCTAAAATCCAACGTGCTATGCTCTCGCAACAGGTACAGCATACATCTGACATTCCTTGTCTCAATCCTCGATGCAATGTCAAAAATAAAGCTGGATTTACGAATGCGTGAACGTAGGCTATATGCAAAGTGACCTTTAACAAGTGAATACAAATTTGATATAAGAGGTTTACATTTATCAACATTAACTTCGAATTTAGGTTCGATTAATATTTTGATTAAAAAATAAATAAATTAAAGATAATATTTTATTCATGACGAATCAAGAAAATTAGGTTCACATTTCACATTATTGCACATTAGGTTCACATTTATTGAAAAAAAAAAAAGACAGATCCAAAATATATAATATAACAAAATTGAATTGTAAATAGGTTCTTAAGTTAATTTTAGGAAAGATAGATTGTACATTTTACCTCATAACCAATTGCGTTGCCTATGATAGGATGATGCACTAGCGTGACGAAAAATAATGGTCCCCAAAATATCACGTACGCTGCTGTAATAACCAGGAACATTTTTACCCTTTGTACACCCTCTTGTTCCATTCTTCTTAAATAATTTCGCATCTTTCTGTGCTCTTCCAAAGCACTGCTTCTCTGAAAATAAAATATTAAATCAATTCATAAATATACACAGATTATTCTATAATCGATGATACATGCAAACAATTTCTATTGGTGTGTGTTGATTTATTAATAAATTCAATTAGTATATTAAATAATTAAAATTAAGTACTTTTATGATAAAAATCACAATCACAAAGAAAGTAAATAATAAAACGCTTTAAAAAATGTTTGCAAATCAAATATTTTTATAAATAATGATAAAAATTGCACTCTAATATTGTCATTAATTTATGCATATTTTTAGAATAATATTTAGCATTTTATATGAAATTAAGGCCGTTTCTTTCCCCCACTACATCGTCCGTTTCCTTGCCCCACTACATCACCGCGTTTCATTTTTCAAATCACACCCATTCTAAAAAAGTTTTCATTTTAATAATTAAAATGAAATTTTACTTTTGGTGTAACTGGAGTACGAGAATCGTTTGTGTCATCTTCACATTGAACAGTACTCGGTCTTCTTTGATGAGCACCAGTGACATTGACCAATGTAGTAACAAGACCAGCTACACGAACCTAAACAAATATTTCAATAAAAAAAAATATTAATTTATCATTTATGATTTATAATCCTTTTTTTGTATGATATCGTTAATAATAATTAGAAAAAGTGGTATATGTGTGATACGTACAGCTTCTACATTAGCTTTGGTTAAGTCTCTATGTAGTTTTCGTAAGTGAAATAATGTGAGGGCCACACAAATGATATTAATAACAATCCAAAGAACATTTAGAATGTAATGACGAAAGGGTCCATGCACCAATGGACAACTCGGTGCATTGTGTCCACTTTCCATGTTAGCTGCCAATGCACCGCTTAGAAACGTAGGACCAAGATTTATGGTTATGCTAGCAAACCATATCATGAAGGTACCAAATAGTACGCACTGAAAATTAAACATACATACATAAATCAACACATATCACAATTTTTGGAACGTTATTTATCGCTTTTACCTGTTATCGACGTTTAGAGGAATTATTTATTTTTGTTTTATTTTTTATTTTTTTTTTTTTTTGATATGTGAATAGCAAGTATTTTGGAGACAACAAAAAAATCAACGCATGTTCACCGTTCAGTCATTTATTTTAATCCAACAGGATAGAGGAAGATTGTAGAATTTGTATCGAAAATTTGGACATGATCGTTAGGTACAATTAACTTGTTCATATAGCATTAGGATTAATTTATCGTTCGAAGTTTCGGACATTTGTCGAGAGAAATTGAGTTTCAATTAAGTTTATTAAATTTCAAATATAAGCCAATTGTGGTTTGTACTTCAATTGGTTATCATCAATTATCGTGATAACCACGAAATGATTTGATTAGAATGTTCGATCAGTTTTTAATTGAAATTTTTAATTAGGATGATTATAATTCGTCGTGATATTATCAGATTTACCTGTGGTGAGTCCATAAGCAAAGGAGCTGTTAATTCAGCTTCCTCGTCGCTCTCTGGGAATACGGGACTATCGTTTAAAACAGTTGTGAGCATGTTCACCGTTGAAACAGTTACAAGTAGTAGGAAAGCTGTCTCGACTAAAGAGCATTTGTTAACTGGTTGACAATTCAAAATGCTCGAACCCAAAGGCAATAATATTGCAGCTCTCGCACAATCCACCATTGCTTGATGGAATAATAAGCCCTGAGACCATCTGAAAATTCATCTTATTTGTAATTCATAGGTTTTATATGAAGGGGAATCTATATTTAAATTTCATCCAAATCCACTGGGTGTATTCTAGAATTATGATGTGTGACAAAAGTAGGCCAACTACTGTTGGGAATAATATTCCAGTTATTATACGTAACTGGATACTTAAATATTATTTTTGTATAATCGATCGTTCAATTTGTTCAAGTTATTGACAAACTTTTACATATTGATTATATTTAATTTATGATATTTTTGTTCAACTGCATTATTCGTATTTCTTTTATATTTTTATTTTAATATTAAATGATATATTGTTTTTATATCAGGTTTACTTATGCATCAAGAGAATATGAAATTTTTCGTTTTATCAAACATTATTTTCTTAGTTTACAAAATACCTTCTTAATTGTTGTTTTGCTAATATCAAAGACATGAGTATAATGTTTGCACCCATTCCAAGAGCACCAAGGCTAAATATAACGGTTGCTTCTGCAACACCACCGGGATGACACTGAAACACTTTAGTAGCGTTGGATGTGACATTTCCGGAGGCAACTATGCCGAACCTTAAGTTTGCACCTATCATTGCCACCGCTGAGCCTGTAAAAAACATAAGAAAAAGAAAACAAAGTTTTGATTAATATTAATCAGTTTCTTCAAAATAGAATTTAAAAAAAATTATGATGCATAAAAGTGATTTTATTTAGGGGTCAATATTCAACATTTTTCATTCTATTTTACAATTCATACAAAAATCAATTGTAAAATTTATTATTTAACATTTTTCGGTTTAGCAGTACTTTAAAAATAGAATTTATATTAAAAATATCAATATCTTAATACTGAACAAATAAACAGTAATCTAATAAAAACCTATAATCTCATAAACAGTAAGTCCTTCATTTTTATTTTATTTTGTAATATTGCAAATCATATTCCCTCTGTATCTTTTACCCGAAGTTATCACTGACAATATTATATCTGAGACTTGTCTCAAGTAGATATTTTTTTTTATGTCATTTTTGTGTGTGTGTATTTTTTTCTCTTCTATCACAAATCATTCTCGTTCTTTTATTACTAGTTGTAGACAGAGGAATGGCGTCTGACTGTCTGCTGTCGCAGCTATTACCATTACAATCCAATAACAAGATTATTTTTTTTTTTTACTGGGACACGATTCTTTAGTCATCCAATTGTTTTATTATTCATTTTATCCATTAATCTTTCTTTCCCTCTCTCCTTTTCTTTTTCTTTTGGAAGCTTTCAGGTAGAAAGCCATTAGCTCGTTATTACCACAAGGACCCTGTAGTACTAACTTTCGAGTTCACCTACTATGCTATTATAACAAAGGATCCAAACAGCTGTATATTGTCGCCTATAGCTAAATGACTCGTCAGCTTCTCCGACTTTACCATCCCTTAAGGCTTTTCATATTATTCTCTCGTATTTTGTCGAATGATTGCATTATCGATGAAACCGAAGAGATAGAGAGAGAGAGAGAGAGAGAGAATCTCAGCTATTTCCATCAACTGGTGAAATTTCTGACCACGTTTTCGGTATGCTCTCATCAACCACTTCAGTTTCTCTTGTTTAATAACCGAAGGCTTACTAAACTTCTGTTGCTATTAGTACTCTAACAGGTATATATCCATCAGCTAATGTATCCCTTTGATGTTAATCTAACTTTAGATTTTAACCAAATTATTTTCTAAACTTAACTTTTTATTTTTTAATTTTTTTTATTCAATTCGTTCAATAGGTTATCGAATTTTTCTCCTTGTTTAGTAAATTTTATTATTAATAATAATATTAATTATTATTAATGGGCATTAGGAACTCAGAAAGTTCATTGCGTTAATAATAATATTAGTTTTAATATATATTTAATATTAGTTATATAATATTTTATATATTTTAGTTATAATACTTTATTATTATTATTAATAATAATATTTTCATTATTATTAGTTTTTTTTATAAGGTTGTTTCCTAATACTTTTTTTTTCTTTTTACATTTAGTTTATTAATTGCATATTTATTTATGCAAGTCTGACAAATGAGAGTTTGATATTAATTATAAAAATATAATAATTAATATTAGTTTCTTTTATTAGGTAATGTTTGCTATTACATTTTTTTTTTTTACATTTAGTTGTTTAATTGCATATTTAATTATACAAGTTTGACGAATGAGTTTAATGATAAACTTTGAAAAGAATTTGTTGAATGAATTTATAATAATTATTTTTAATATCCATACTAAGGATTAAGTTTTATTCTACAACTGACGTGTGTGCAAATAGAGAATACAAATATAGAATTATTCATTGTTATATTTTGCGTAACACGTACGGTAAACTAACACGAAAGGAATACCAAAATATTATCTACACACTGTATATGTATATATGTACACGAAAGCTTATACATTTTTCTCTAGCTTTACCTTTAAACCAAATTCAGAAACGTAAGATCACTGTTGAATAATTGATAGAGAATCGTGGTAGAGAGAGAGAGAGTAAGAGAGAGAGAGAGAGAGAGAGAGAGAGAGAGAGAGAGAGAGAGTGAGAGAGAAAGAGAGTCAAAGATCAACCCCCAAGTGGAATTTATCTAGGAATACTCCTAGAATTTAGTTTGTATTCTATCTGAATAATATTTCGTTAGAAATTAAATAAGTGAGTTTTAGTCAAATCTGATAAAAATATTTTTTTTTTTTTTAGCAGAAATCTTAAAAAAAACATAACATTTATATATATATGTAACATATATATAATAATCTTTATATATGTATATTATAATCTTTAAAACATATAACATTTATATATACATTATATTTTTATTTATTTATATATATATTATATATTATAACATATATTATATTATTTATATATTATATATATTATTATTATTATTATATATTATATTATATTATATTATATTATAATATAATATATAATAGATATTATAATATATTATCATATATATATAGTGTAGGTAATTATATATTTTATATATATAGTGTAAAAAAATTGTTGAAAATATTTCGGTGCAGTTAAAAATTATTTATTAATTATATATTATTCAAATTATTTTCGTTTGAAATGAAAAGATTAAAAGAAAAATGATAAACATTTTTTCTCAACTATACGTCAAAATAATATCATTTATTGCTGTTAAATTTATTAGTAATGTATGTAGTAGAATATATATACGTAGTGTAAAATTTTCGCGTAGGACAATGCAGGGGCGGAATAATTAGTGACTGTTACTGATGTTCTACGGTGGTAGAATTGAATTACGTGTTGCCAACATGAATATGCATTGACCGCCCTTTTAGCGACGACTATTGTTTCCTGCTTGGACACTATTAAAAAACTTTTCGCTCTCGCGGTTATGGAAATCATAATGCTTCATGTGAAAAAGATAATGAAAAAAAAAAAAAAAAATAAAAAAAAAAGTACCACTAAGTGTTACTAATTATACTCATCAATAAGTTTTCTCATTAATTTTCTCTTTTAATTGTGTGCGATTATTATTTTGTACTTTAATATATGAATTTTATTTATTTATTATTTTTAATTAATGATCGGTATTTTTATTAAAATTATTATTGCGTATTATTTTTTAAATCACAACTAAATTATTTAAATAATATAAATTATATAGAATTTATTATATATTTATTATATTATATAAAATGTATATTTTAAATTAACAGCAATCCCTGATATGTAATTCGGTTTTTGTTAAAAAAAGAAATATTTCATTAATTAGAAATAATTTTATTTTTTTTATATTATAAAAAAGAGTTATAGTTTTTCCAAAAGATGATATTATTTTTTTGATTAGTATTTAACGAAGAATTAATTATATTATTCACATAATACAAAATACCATCGTACAATTTTGAATTACCGAAACATAAATAGTTTTTTAATTAAAATGAATTTTATTGAATGAAAAAAAAAGAAATATAGGATTAAGGTTTTCCCCACAAATGATCCTATTTATCACAATGATTTTATTACGTTCCATAAGATGAACGAACGAAGGAACTGAAACGATAGAACGAACAAAGTTTAACGTTCTGGACTGAACTTTCGATCCTCTTACAGTATTGAGAAAGTTGAAGTGCCAAACGAACCGTTTCGAGGAAGGTCTTTTTACCTTGCTGCTGCGAGCTTTACCTAAGATGATGCCTAAAGTATCTTCTTTACTCAGAGTTTTTCGTGATTCGATATACTTCAAAACCGTAGATATCAAATTATTTGAAATTGAACTATTCTTACAATTAATCAATTTACTTAGAGTAATCTCAGTCAACATAATATTTTCTAACGTAATTGTAATTTTAAATTAGATTTCATTCAACTGAAAATACAGATATTCACCCACAATCAAATATTCATTCAAATTACAATATAAATGTACAAATATGCAAAATGAATTTTATAGGATCAGATTATTAATTTGTATTGTGTTAAGTTATTTTATTTATTGTAGCAAAGAGCAACCAGGAACTAAGTTTTTTTTTTTATTTATTCAATTCGTAAATGAAAATGTTGAGTAGTTCTTTGGTTTAAAATGATATTTGTTAAAACTAATTTTAAAGATAAAAAGGATCGAGTTTTATATTAGCATAGTCAAACTAATGAAATTTTTCTAATGCGTTTAATATTTGTTTATTCTATAATTACTTTGAGTAATGCAAAAAAGAAAAAAGAAATGCTGGAAATATTCCATGGTCATAATTAAAGTAATGACATTTTTCAACACGTTTCAATATTTGTTTATTTTAAAATATAATTTGATTAAACAATACAAACACAGAAATTCAATTTATTAATTTATAAATTAGATTATATATGTTAAATCAATTTAATGTATCTTTGATCTCAAAATGGATGAGAATACTTGTTTACCCTAATTTTAAAAGGTGTGTGAGATAGATAATGAAAAAGATGAAGGGAGAAAAAGAGATAGAAAGAGATAGAAAAGAATGAAGGTTTCGTTAGCATAGTCAAAGTAAATCCAATTATGCATCCCGAAATAAATTCGTTAAATCGCCGCGAGCTTTTACGTTCTACCTACAATCCTTTTAACCCCATTTTAGAATACGATTGCAAAGTGCTCAGAAGAAGCTTTTCGATGATAAGTCCCAGATAACGAAAGACGATTCGAACTGATTTTTAAAATTATTACAACGTTTCTCAATCGATTATTATTTTAAGACATTATTATTATTATTATTATTATTATTAGTATACTTCAATTAAAGATAATAATTTGAAAAAAAAAAAAACAACTCAAAGTAACTGAGACTTTAATAATAAAAAAAAAAAAAAAATATAAAAATAACTGTGTTGTTGTTTAGGAAAATGACGTAAGTGGTACGTTTCGGTAACGCATAGTACAAAGTTTGATCGAACAATTTCAATCCGGAAATTTAAATGTCAAAGATGAACTTTGCTCTGTGATAAACCAATCAGTGAGGAAAAGTCGATAAAATTGTTGATAAAATTGAACAATACTCTTTCTGGTAGATATTAGTAATCGTGATATCGGTAAAGAACTTAACAAAATTGATCCGTAAATTGTTT